AGCGAGTTCTTGCTCTCCAGGACTAGCAACAACTCTTGCATGCCGGGGGATAGTAAGAGCTCTTGATTCAAGGAATTGACGGAGCAGTATGACCCTTATGGGTTTAGCGCTTAATGCTCATTGTAAGAATTTAACCTACCCTTGCGCTGTATAGTCCCTACGGATTTAGCGCTCCCCGTGATTGTAATTCCCGGTGGACCTCATTATTCCTAAAGCGCTCTTTGACCCCTATGGGTTTAGCGTTTCAAAAAAAATAAGATACAAATTACCTTAGAGGTGCCTTGCAAACGAGGGGCTCTTGATCCACGGCATTAGAGATGCCCCCTCTAGGATCGAATCCCCTCAAGGGAGATACCTAGGTACCTTGATGCTAGTGAGGGGCTCTTGATCTAAAGAATTGAATCTGTGCAGGAGTTCCCCGAATTTATGCATCCACAAATAATTATTGGCCTACAAAATAATAATAATACGTAGGTTGGTAGACAGCAACCACCCAGGGAGGTATTACCGTCCTGCCAAGTGAGTGTAAAACGGAAACCTGTAATTGTTTTACATGATGGTAGGATTACTGGTGTCTTTTTTCTGTCTCATAAACATGCAAGATTTCAGGTATGTCTTGCTACTTCTACTTACACTTAGGTCACACGACACATACATGTACAAGCATATATATATACACACCCCTCTGAGTTTTCTTCTATTTACTTTCTAGTTCTTGTTCTTGTTTATTTCCTCTTATCTCCACGGAGAAATGGAACAGAATTCTTCCTCCGTAAGCCATGTGTGTTGTAAGAGGCGACTAAAATGCCGGGAGCAGGGGGCTAGTAACCCCTTCTCCTGTATAAATTACTAAATTTAAATAGAGAAACTTTTGTTTTTCTTCTTGGGCCACCCTGCCTTGGTGGGATACAGCTGGTTTGTTGAAAGAGAAGAATAATAATAATTTGGAGTTTTGTTATTCTTTAGTGCCTATTCTTTCCAGAAATTCACAAGTGCTTACAAACCAAGCCATAAATGAAACAACAACAATGAAGAAGTAATACTGAAGTTTAGATTATGGAGTGACAGTATGATCATCAGAATCATAAGCACTAGACAAGAGATGTGCTTTCAACTGGGATTTGAAAGCATGAACAGATTCACTGAATTCTCCACCCCACACCTTTAATCTGGTCCAAGTCACTGGCCATGTGGCACATTGCAAAAATCATCACAATTGATTCAAGAAAAGGGAGGCAATAAATCAGCTCAAATCCATTTGATGAGAAGAATCCTTCACTAATGATGAGGTCTGGTTTGTTAGGTTTGAAGGCTATCAACTACATTAGAGTCACGAAGGCTAAAGTTCATCTGTACATCACCAGTCAAGAATATTTTAACATTAAACTCTGTATACATACCACATCACTGCCATGAGAGGAAAAAGGGGGGAGGAGACTGTATACACAGTGCAGCATATATGTGATTCGTGAAATCACAACAACATGATTGCAAAGAAATCAAATAACGGGTGGGGGTGTAAACCCATGGCAAGTGAGAACTAAAACTCACAGGCCACTCTGCTAATTATTGGACCATACTGGCCGAATAAGATTCATCATACTAGATATATTTCTATACACCATAGGAATGTTAGCATGGGCACCATAGTACAATTCTCTTAAGATTCCTTGATGCTGTTGAGGGGCTCTTGATCCAAGTAACTGAACTTGTCCTCCCCTTCCTTAGATCAAACTTGATTGCATTCCATTCTCCAGGCATTGTATGGCTTCTACAGGTTTAGCTCTTCCCATACACACAAACAATTATGGACTATGGTAGGTTTTTAGAAGAGAAATTTGCTCACTCACAGTAAAGAAGCTGGAACACATATTTGCAAGGCAATCCATTATGGGTCTGGGGCTCACTATTTGAGATCCAGTGAGATAGGAAGCTACAGAGTTTATATCCTCTATTATTGTCATAAATATAGTATAAATCAGATGATTTTTATAAGTTAGTGGAGATATGGTCCCACTTCGGAAACACAATTACTCTAAGAATGCTATAATATGGTAGTTGATGTAAGAACTTCGGGTGTCAAAACTTAATGAAGTAGAATGACAGTGCCAATATCAAGGGCATAAACTTAGTTCTTGCTAAATGATTGGACCTAAAGCTAGTGCATATTTGAGAGAACAAGAGCTTTCAGGAAAAATAGAAAACTGTTAAATGCTATAGGAAAAATAAATTGAAGCAAGAAAAGATTAAGCATTTCCCAACCAAAATAATAAAAGGTTAAGAATAAATCAGAATGTATTAGATACTATATATATTATTATTATAAAAAAGAAGCGCTAAGCCACAAGGGCTATACAGCGCTAGGTACTATACATAAAAATGCAATGTCACTTCAACATGGTATGTATAAAGTACCAAAGTGGAACAGCATTTATTTTGTATAATTTGAAGGTTCAACATCAAACTTATATACACATATTACCATAATGACTGAACTAAACTATCATATTTCATTTTTCCTGACGAGATGAGCTATCTGATGAGGACTTCTGTTCTGCTATTTCCATTTTATGCATCATACTTTGGGCCCAGTCCAAACCAAACCTCTGTAAAATTACTGCCATGTCAGGCATTGAGGTTGATGAATCACTAGATATATCACTCTTAGGCTTTGCATCTTGTTCATCAGATGAGATGCTTAAAACTTTGTAAGAAACTTTATCTTGGTCATCCTTCCTACTATATGGGCTCTGATGTATAAGGGATAAGTCTTCCACTGAAGAAGTTAATGTAGTACTTGACAAAGCTAAAGGAAAGTAACTTGAGGTATCAGCTGTCAAAGGCAGTATATGTTCTTGTTCTAAACCTTCAGTACCTGGGATGCAAATACTCCTACCTTGTACTTCTAGTGGAGTACTCTCAGTGGCAGGCAAGGAAGAGATGCTCCTCATATTATTCTTAGGTGTCTCAGTCATTAGGAATGGTGGCACAAGGTTACCATCATCTGAACCTTGGTAATCTTGGGTTAATGTTTTCAGCCTACCCTTAAGTGTGGTGTATTTAAAATGCTGGAACCTAGATTGATAAGTCCTTTTTGTATGCATGTATGTGAATTTCTTCCTATCATCTTCTGTAGCTGCCTCCTCTGATGAAGAAACATCGCTCGCTGATGTGGTACCTGATGACTTGGACCATGTTCTCAAATTTTGTTTCTGGATCAATGAAATTTGACTTCCTGCATCATCCAGTGAAGATTCATTTTCTCTGGATGGTGTATGGTAGTTAGCTGAGCCACTCATGTTAAAATTACTGTCAGACAAGTTTGAACTGTCTTCATAAATTGTACTGAGATCAGTTTTCTGTGTGCTCCTGTAATAATAAAGAAAAGTAAAAATATTTCACTGATTTTAATTTTAATCTAAAACATAAAAATACAGAGTATAATATAATGAAATACAATAAGTTGAATTTTACACTGAGTCGAGCCTCTTTTATTCTACATTCTAAACCTATAAAACCTGACAATAGTAAATGACCTGCCTTAGTCATTTACTATTATCTAGGAATATATACAAAACATTTATAGGTTCCAGCAGTTTTGGATACATGGGAGTATATAATAATAATAATAATAATAATAATAATAATAATAATAATAAGAAGAAGAAGAAGAAGAAGAAGACAAAGACGAAGAAGAAGAGGAGGGTGCAGTGATGAGATAAGGGGTGACATTTGATGAGTGTCAGCATCTCTGCCTCTGCTTATCTGTCTGTCTGTCTTGTCTCTGTCTGCTTGTCTCTCTTTCCATCTCTCTGCTTGTCTCTCTCTCTCTCTCTGTCTCAGAGAGAGCCACTGTGAACCAACAGATATTCTTATGCATTATATCTACAAGCATAGTATAGCACTTCGGAGTTTTTGGATTATCCTAGGTAATTTACACTATGTATAATTGTATTTATGTGTACCTGTGAGACAGAGATAGAAAGAGGTAGACAAAGATAGACAGAGATAGACATAGATACAAACAGACAGACAGATGGAGATAGAGCCAGCCAGCCAGCCTGCCGAACACTTATTACACGTTCCAGAATTGTTTCTCTTTACTTAGGGCATAGGTTATAAGACATTCTGAAAGGATGTTGCACAAATGTTGCACACGGGTTATTATCGAGGTTTCTGATATTTTCTCCTCCACTTATGGCCACTTCCACCTCAAAACCACTAAACTTGGGGTCAACATCACTTTCCTCTTAAAAGGGGAGTGTTAATATGACATGAAATCATTGAATCCTTGGTGTTTGGAGTGTTGCTCAATTTAACTGGCACTCCCACAAGGTACAAAGTGATCCCAGATTTTTTTAATATGGTGCACACAGAGTGTTAAGACCCATACTATGGTGACCAGGCATCTCAGGCCAATCATGCCAAATTTGGAGGCAGGAAAAATAAAATGCATATATACGTTTGGGGCACTAGCGTAAAGAATGTATATAATACGTTTGGATCGTTTAGGGGTTTAAAGTTCCTCAAAACATTCCCTCCATTTTCCCAATACCTCCAGCTCCCCATCTATTAACTCCCCTATTCTTTTTTTAACTGACAAATCCATGGAAAAGTGGAATAAGAATCTTTCCTCCATAAGCCATGCGTGTTGAACTAAAATGCTGGGAGCAATGAGCTAGTAACCCCTTCTCCTGTATAGCCTACTAAAAAGAAAAAGAAAACAGATATATAGGTACAAAAATATACATTAACAGTACAATACTACTATTATTGTTATATGCATTGTAAAACACTAAACCCTCAGGGGTCAACCTGTAGGAGGGCTGATCCACTTCTCTGTATTAAGTCTTTCACTGGCTTAAAAGCAAAATATCTGATGACACCACACAGGCTGATTTACAACGAGAAACAGGTTTTCCCCTTACAAAAGAAAATTTAGGATGATTTTTGTTTATATCATATTATTTTGCCAAATATTTAAAAGGTTACTTAGTATTATGTGAACAATTCAAGACTATGAATCTTATAAACTTAAAAATAAATTTTCCATCAAAAATTTAATCTACAAAATTTTTAAAATAAAGTGCAACATTGCTAACTTACCTAAATGAGAGTTTTTGATCTTGCTTATTAATACTGTTAGTGGTTGGTGATGTGCCCATTACTTCTGGCCCAATAGAAAGAAATGAACTTGAGGTATCAGTTATGAGTTCTTTTCTAAGATGATCAAGTTTTTGCAGCTCTTTTTTAATACTGTTACCACTTCTGGAGGACAATAATGAACCTGATTCTTCATATTGTGAGTCTAATGGAAGTACTATGTGTGGAGAGGTCTTTCTGCTTAGCTGCAAGTATCCTGGAAAGCCATTAACTCTTCCTGATTCATCTTTAGAATGTGTAACAGAAAGCGTATGCATGAGTCTGTCTACCTGTTGTGGCTTACTGATGAGAGAATTTTCTTCTTCATCACTGCAGGAGTATTTATTTTCAGATGAGAGGCTACTTAATTTCACGGGAACATCATCAATATCTTTATAACTAGAATTATTATTTGATTCTGCTAATTCCCTGACAGATGAAGATGGATTTGGAGATGAAACTGTAAATACTGACTCATCTTTCTCCTGGAGAGAATCAACAAGTGTATTCAGGGAACTGAGAGTAAATCCAGAGCCTTCAACTGTTAATGCTGACATATTCTCTAACTCAGGCCCCTTCAAATGCATCAACTTTCTTAAGTAGCAATGAATAATCTCCTTTCTTTGCATTTAAAATTTTATTTTTTCCTTCTCAGTGGCCTTTTCCCACTACCCTCTTCCTTGAGTTTTTCAAAATAAGCATTTTGACCTGAGTGTTGATTTGCTGTGTCTGATAATAAATCAATTTTTATGCTGAATACTTCTTTGTTGCTGAATCCCCCTTAAATCACATCTAGTGGGGGAACTGATACTTTAGTTTTGGAAGTGATGATGGGGACTGATGTAGTCTGTGGTGCTGATTCAGAATTTAAATAATCAATTAGATGTTTATCTGGCAATAAATGGGCACTGATAAATGACAGAGACTTTAAAGATCCTCCTCTGAGGGATAAAGGTTTCTAGTGAGCTTCTATGACCATCACTTTTTATCTTCATTAAAAGTCATCCAAACTTGATTCTTCAGAAGAGGTTGGTTGAGATGCATTCTTCTTGGGTATAGTGGTACTTCTAACATCATCATAACCTGGTAATAGATTAACAGGTACAGTTTCTGCCATATGTATATCTTGATCATCTCTGCTGAAAGGGGTGGAATTTATATATTGCCTCTGACGCTGGGTTTCTGATGGAAGAGTTGATGGTGGTTTCAAGTACTCTGTGCTGCTGGTTTCAAAACCCGACTGCTCTGCTGGGAATTTATCTCTTGTAAATGGGTGTATTATGGGAGACAAAGGTATTACATGTTCATCGTCTGATGTTTGTGTTTCCACACTACCTTCATCAACTCTTTCATCAACTGTTATCTCCTTATCACCTGAATTCGAATCTTGAATTGAGTGTTTGGCTGAGGCTTCTTTACTAATAAATCTGCGATCATGATAGTCTGTCACTAGATGAACAGGAACAGTTTCTGCCATGTGTATATCTCTGTCTTTTGCAGTATGTGGCCTTAATTTTCTGTACTGTACTTTTCTTCACTATTGTCTCCACTATAAACAACACCTCATGTTGTGAAATAATTTCTGCTTGAGGATGGTCAGCATCTGATTCTACACCTCTTCTAACAAGTTTCAGTTTTATGTTCATCGAAGGGTTTGTCATCTTTACAAAAACTTCTTCTGATCCCTCTTCCTCTTCAGTATGACACCATATATACTTTTAAGAATATCACGTCTTTGCTGCCTGATCCGACCCAAATTTAGTGATTTCATATCTTGAACCTCTGTACCAGATCTTCTTCCCCACTAGTTACCCTCGAAGTGTCTGAAACTTCTGAAAAAATAAATAAGATAGAATACAGAATATGAAAAACAATATTTACTAACACAATATTTTTGTAATAACTATATTCTACTATAACTTCTCCTCTTCTCACACCATCAGAAACAATCAGATTTAAATCTACAATTCTGTCATTAATTCCGTTTGTCAAACTCTCAAAGTACCGTACCTTCTCCATCTATAGTACAGTACATTTGTATTACACAATTAATACAGCCAAATATTGTTTATAATATTTACATTTAATTTGGAATTTGTTTCCTTACAGAGATGTCTATCACTGTCATGGTAGAAAAATGACATCATGACAAAACTTTCATATCTCTATCCACCACAAATGCTTTCACTGCTCACTTGCTTCCCCTATTAATTTGTTAGAAATTTACTTTTATTGTGGATACAGGTGTCTAGTGGTGCAGACAGGCAGCTAGCTATAAATTTACAATTTTCATCAAAAAACATGCTATTTGATGGCCCAGCAATAAGCACATTCTTTCAATTCATTGTAACTGTAACCAGACATACACATGTAAATAGTTCACCATTACTGTAATTTATTTAGCTATCAAAACTTTGGGACCCAGTCCCTGAACCCATTATGTGCCTCTGTAATCTTTTGACCACCATCCGCAGGATAGATATGGGATGAACAATAAATATATTAAACTAAACTAACTTTCAAAATTTCCCCACTGTACTTCCCACATCAAATCTCCATTTCTTTCTGGCCATTCTTGAGTTTCAGCAGCTATAAGATATATCCTATGAAACTCAAAATAAACCCATATCTGAAAAAATCAATACTATTGACAGTGACTTGTCCACTGTTAGGGAATAAATTTATGCAGTGGGTTTGGCTTAGATCAGGATATTTAGCTAAAAAAAAAATGAGGTCGCCTTGTACAACATTTCAACATACATGTACATGCTTCAATTTACATTAACTTTTACTTTTACTCTATGTTCTTTTCAGAGCCTATCTGAGCTTTATTATTTAAAGCACCCATCATAATTAAATAATCCAATGGTGTCTCAGCAGCATAACTGTCTGCTTTATTCTAGACAATATACATGTAATTAATTCTCACTCCTATCATCACACTGTGCCTGTGTAATCATAATAATCACATGCTGTAATAACAGTCACCTTTGCCTCTGGAAACTTAATTTCACACAGACACTTTAATTTATGTTATAAAAAGTCACTTATCACACAACATAATTATCTCTCATTGCTGCCCCATACTCTTCACTCTATTCCATTTCTTATGCTTCTACTTCATATCACACACTACAAAAAATAGGAAAAGAATTTAAATTATTATGATGCATTTATAATTAAATAGTACATTATACATGTTTTAAGGAAAACTTAGGACAACGATATGGAATGATGGGGGAAGTAAACAAAATACTATACTGTATTGTACTCATAAATGCAGTATTTAACAAGAGGCAATGTGAACTCATTTAAAACAATTTGATCTCATATTATGCAGTAATAAAATAAAAAGTTAATGAGTATTACCTAGCAAACCAGAAGAATCTGAGGAAAGCTGAATGTGATCCTGGTAAATAACTTCTGTTGGGGATGTATCATCACGTAAGATTTTCTCTACAGCTTTCTCCATCTGTTTCTGCAGAGAAGCTTGATGCTTCAGCCTGGATTCTTTAGTTTTATAAGCCTGCAAGGAAAATGTTGATTTAATTCTGTATATGTACATTTGTATTTCTTACCTACAGGAAAATTTTGTGCACAGTCACTTCTACAACAGATGGAGAGCATAGGAACAGTTTTTCAACAGAGGAGTAGATCACAAGATAGAGTTGCTCTCATATATAGCTATTGTATTGTAATAAAGTTTTTACAATAGTCAATAAACAACTGCACTGACTGCTGAAAGCTGTAAGAAAATTAACATAAGGCAAGGATCAATAAATTGAGCAGTTTCTAATTGCTCAATTTATTGATCCTCATTTAAACAGTCTGGATGCCAAAATGCTCATCTCAGCAAGGGGTAGTCAAACACTTAGCCAATCACTTGTAGCCACTTGCATGGATAAGTACATGTATATATAATCACAATAAAAAAATCAATCTTTTGTTTTTCTTTTTGAGCCACCTTGCCTTGGTGGGATACAGCCAGTTTGTTGAGAAAAAAAATCCATACCAACTCAGAGAGAAAAATGTTGATGGCAGGATTGCTGGTGTCCTTCTTTCTGTTTCATAAACATGCAAGATTTCAGGTACGTCTTGCTACTTCTACTTACACTTAGGTCACACGACACATACATGTACAAGCATATATATACACACCCCTCTGGGTTTTCTTCTATTTTCTTTCTAGTTCTTGTTCTTGTTTCTTTCCTCTTATCTCCATGGGGAAGTGGAACAGAATTCTTCCTCTGTAAGCCATGCGTGTTTTAAGAGGCGACTAAAATGCCGGGAGCAAGGGGCTAGTAATCCCTTCTCCTGTATAAATTACTAAATTTAAAAAGAGAAACTTTCGTTTTTCTTTTTGAGCCACCCTGCCTCGGTGGGGTATGGTTGGTTTGTTGAAAGAAGAAGAAATGCAAATTTAACCTTACTTTACTTTGCTGAAAACAGTCGAGTGCCTACTAGGATAGTGCTGAGAAGGGAGGAGGAGGAAATGTTATTATTTGGAAGGAGAGTCCCCTTCTGTTTTCTGTCTCTTTTCCATATTTGGACCTGGTTGAAGCTCACCAGGTTTGACTTTTACTAAAAATCTGTCCAAAGAACTTTGCTTTTGCCTTCTCCTCAGGATGTTATGGAAATGTGACATTGTCTGATTATTCCAGACTATGCTATTAAGGCTTGTTTGGGCTTTGTTGGGGTGGTACTTCTCTGCAAAGTTTTTGACGTCCATCTATTTGGCAAAGATTTCCTTGACTAATGAAGTAGGGGCTTCCTCTATCTCTTCCGAGCCTGAAGAGAGTGCATCCATCTTAGTCTTGTGCTCCTCCTCCTCAAGTTCCTGCATCTCCTGAGTGGTCAGCTCTTCCCTGTGCCCCTCCACTATCTCCTTCACATCACCATCACTCACATCCAGACCTATGGACCTGCCCAGTACTAGTGTCAGTACTAGCATACTGATGCTAGTGGGCTTTGTCTCAAGAGAGAGGTAAACAAGGGTAGCACGTAGTGTCATGACTCATTTTTACCCATACAAGTTCTAGCACACGGGTGGTATTCCAAACAAAGGTCATCTATGAAGCAAAAATTTTCGTGTCCAAACAGGGCATATACCAAGTTGGACTTATTCCAAAGTGGACGTATACCGAGGTACCACTGTATTTAAATTGAAAATGAGCCATAGGATTTCACTCAAAATATGCTCACTGAATTTCCCATGCCAAAATCTGTATTAATTCTTTTTTCTTTACATTAACAGTCAGGAGCAGTGCTAGAATTTCTATACTTGGAAGGCTGAGAAATGGCTATCTTGTTGGAAGGGGGGCTAGAAGACTTGTTTTGAAGCAGTCTTATTATTATTTTTATTATTATTGGGGAAGCTTTGGGCAGCTGAGGGAATCTGCAGAGCTGAAGCCCCCCCCGAGCCCCTCCAGGCAAAATATCTCATCACTAATGATAGGCAGGTATTGTACATGCCTCTTTTTCATCTTACCATATTTTTTGTTTGCTAACACATCAGCCATTTCCCACTGAGACAGAATGACCTGAAAATGAAGAAACACTTTCATCATCACTCACTCCATTACTGTCTTGCCAGAGGCGTGCCTACACAACAGTTCAAAAACTGCAACGTATCTCCACCCCATTCTTCAGAGTGCAGACACTGTACTTCCCACCTTCAGGACTCTAAGTCCAGTTAACTGGTTTTCCTGAATCCCTTCATAAATATTACCTTGCTCATGCTCCAACAGGACATCAAGTCATAAAAACCATTTGCCTCCACTCACTCCAATGTAACATGCTCATGTACACTTGCTGGAAGTCTAAGCTCTTCACACACAAATACTTCTTCTTCAAGGCTGATGGATTGATTACATCATCTTTATTTTGCTACTACACCTGCTCCCTCTGTATTTGACTGAAGGAGCCTACTGTGTAGGCAAAATGTTTCATCAATAAAGATACCAAACTGTTGCACATGTGTCTTAATCTTCAACTTATCAGTATGTTATACCATTTTCAACATTATCATTAAAACCAGGAAAAAAAAAATGAGAAGCCATGGTGTTTGTGTTTTGTTTTAAAAATCTTGCTTTTGTTGTTTTAAAAAATTTTTTTTGTCAACCCTGGTTAAAATAGCAATTGGATAATTGCGCAAGAGGAATTTTATGGGTGACTGCATAAAAGTGAATTCACATTAAGTGAAACTGTATAAAGTGACAGTGAAACCTGTACTGAATCCAAAAGCACAAATTAACTCCTTCCCTATCAAGACTCCCAAATTAAAATTGCTCTATGTCTACATTTTTTCTGAAATGGTAGAGAATCTTTTTCTGAAGGTAATGACACCAAAAATACAAAATTTGATGGAAAACTTATGGAATTACACAAGCGTAAAGTTAGCAGTTTGAGTGCAATTTACACATGGGCAATTTCACCCACTCTGAGTCCCATTTTAAGCCAATTCCATTATTCAGTTCAATTCTTAGCTGTTTGGCTAGTATGCCTTCTGTTCTATCAATTGAACACAAAGAGATTTCCCACTCAACTATCAGAACTACCCTATAAAGTGCACATAATTCGGTTATTTGATAAATTTTACACAAAATTAAACAAATTCAATTTTAGAAACATAGTAAAAAAGGAGGGGTGTTAATGTTGCAGTTTAAAAACTGTAGTGTAAAGCATCCTTCTGGCAAGACAGTGATGGAGTGAATGATGGTGAAAGTTTTTCTTTTTCGGGCCACCCTTCCTTGGTGGGAATCGGCCAGTGTGATAGTATAAGTAAAAAATAAACATTATAGATATTCCAGGCACTAAAACAACTTTTCTTCTATTCATTAATCACATCCCCCAGTCCTCTCCTGTATTACACCTGCCTTCCATTTAGAATTCATTATTACACACAAAACAATCAAAGATTTACCCTATTTCTCAAATAATAAAATATAACCAGGAATGATTGTTAATGGTTTACAGCATCTCAATAATTGAATTAGGCCTAGTAAAAACCCACAAAAGAGATCGAGAGGTTTAGGAGGGCCTTGCCAGTCCTAAGGAAAGTCACCAAAAATCGAATATTTTTGCAAATTTTAGTCCAATTTTGAGCTACTTCTGGTCCTGAAACCAACCAAAATTTTCTCTATTTCAAAAGTATATATTCCATTCCATCAAATGATACCAAGAAACAGCCAATAAAACAAAAAATATCATAGAAAACACCTCAAAGCTGCTATTTTAAACCAAACACAGGATCCAAGTTTTGCTTTTCCCATCATGCACCACATGAGATGGGGCAGGACTTTTTTTTTTTACCATGCACACTCATTGCATAGACCCATTCTCTCATATCCAGGCCAAAATTTACTGTTCACAGCTTATCTGAGGGAGCTAAGCTTAAAGTACAGATCTACATGAGGGACAGTGAGAGGGGTAATAAGCACAATTAACTTTAACAGGCAGACACTCTAAACAAATAATTTCCCCTACAAGGTCACTCACAACTGTTCATTTCTTACATCTGAATATTCATGCTTTAATAATACTCATATGCAGTATAATGATGGGTCACAATTTTTTTTGTCAATAAAACTGATGAATGTAGAGGCACAGAAGTTTTAAATCCCAAAATATAGTTATGGATCAACTGCTGAAAGAGAGAAAAAATTATGTTAAAAACTGGTAACAGTAATTAACTACATAAATTATTTACCAGTAAATTACTTACCGAGATATCAGTGCCTGTGAGATAGGTAGACAGTTGATGGTCATGCTGAGCTTGATCAAGCTGGCTCATAAGTTGCTGGTACATACGACACAGTCGCTCTCTGGTCAGTGCCTCTTTGCCTCTCTGTTCTCTCTTCCTGTTATCTTCCTCAGCCTCCTTACGTTTTGCATCTTCACTTGCTAACCGAGCCATTTCCTCTGCTACAGCTGCTTGTTTTGCATTGGGCTATACAAATTGATTTTGATAATTTTTCTATCTCAGTGTTCACCAATCTACCAATATGCAGTACTTCATTTGACATTTTGTATAATACAGTAAGATAAAAAAAAAAGCATATGTGAGCCTAAGCTGGAATATTCTAATGACCATGAGGATCTCCATAGATAACAAAGTTACTGGAACTTTAAAAAGGCTATCACGAAAATAGTAAGAGACAACATTCATTAGTAGGAAATAAAAAGTGTTACTACTCTTTCATTCTTGACAAACTGTTAGATTTTACTTTAATACAGTATATACAATATATAAACACTCATTTAAAAACTTCAAGATTTATTCACATTTATAAAAAAATATTTGTATTTAAGTCTCTAAAGGTTAATGTTTTTTTTTTTTTTTAACAAGTTGGCCATCTCCCACCGAGACAGGGTGACCCAAAAAAGTAAGAAAATCCCCAAAAAGAAAATACTTTCATCATCATTTAACACTCACCTCACTCACACATAATCACTGAGGTTAATGTTATGCTGTAAAAATCTGGAAGAACTGGAATGGTTGTAGAATGAATAATTCAAAGCAAGAACAAATTTCTTTTTTAAAAAAAGTAATTCCCTGTAATTTGAATTTATAATGTTACCTGGAGGACAAAAGTATTAAGTGCAGTAAACTTGTACCTTGGGTACTTAACCCATTGACTGTCGCAACCCCAACCTGGGGTTTGGGTCGAAATTTTTAAAAAAAAAAAAATTTTTTTTTTCTTATGAAATGATGAAAATCTTTCCGATTGTAATGCGCCAAAAAAACGAAATTTGATGGAAAAATGCGGAATTATCTCTTCGAATTTAGTGACCCGCGTGTTTACAAAGGTATTTCGCCCACTTTGAGCCTATTTTCGGTAATTCCCTTGTTCCAGTCGCCCAAACTCTAGCTATTTCTTTAGAACTTCATTTTTTCTATCGATGAGTACAAAAAACCCATTTACTGTTTCAACTACCTATAATTGGTCAGAAATTTGAAATTTTGGGCCAATTTCACAAAAACTAAAAAAAATGACAATTTCAAAAAAGGCCCAAAATGAACTGCGAATTCGGGCTCTAAAAAAACGTTTTCTTTTTTTCATCAGTCACGTCCCGGCCCCTCTGATATTGTTTGTTTTTTTTTAAAATTTTTATTCAAACAAAAAATATTAACTCTTTTTATAGACTACTGCAAGCTGTAATAACTGTTAAATAAAAACAACCTTTCTGACTGAAATTTTAGAATGGTTTTGGACATTTTTTTGGACAAGGTCATTTGTTACTTTTGAACTTTGGCAAAAATAAAAACTTTTCCCCCTACTTTGAGCTCCATTTCTGGGGTTTTTTTTATAGAAAAAATCAATAAAAACACCTTTTTTCTGTAATATTTTTTTCCTTCTATAAAAATGAGCCCAGAAAACGCGAATGCAACCAAAAAATACTAACAAAATAGACCAAAATGGGGCTTTTTAATTAAAAAAAGTCGGAGTTTTTTTTTCTCATTATGCACTCGGCCCAGGGTTTTTTTTTTATGGTGCACACTGACCACACAGACCCCCTTTTTTCACATGTGGGGGTACCATTTTTCCTTTGATTTGAAACCCCCTAGAAAAATTTGGTATAATTTCTCAAAACGGGGCCCCCGTAAAAAGTATATAAAGGCCGCGCAGTCCCAAAGGGGTTTAAAAAGTTAAGTAATAATTTTTTTTTTTTAACAAATTGAAATTTTCCCACCCAAAGGGAGGGGACCCAGAATAAAAAAGAAATTCTTTTTTAAAATTTTTTAATTTATACGAAGGGGTTACCAGCCCTTGCTTCTTGCATTTTTGTTGTCTTTACAACAACATGGGTTTTGAGGAAGATTTTTTTCCACTTCCCCCCTGGAAGTAAATAATAAAAATCTTAAAATGACACAAGAAGTTTCGAAAGTCATCTGTGGGGAAACCTTAGTGTTGGATGTGCAACGCCTAAATATTATGATTTCCCAAATTTTTAAATTTTTTTGCTACAATTTTTCAATTTTTATTTTAATATTTTGGAAAATTACAGTTCTGTGAAAAAAGGTTCACAGTACAGTACATACTGTACATAATGAGATTTAAAAATACCCTTGGCAGACATAAATTCCTTCTCAATAATCAATTTTTGGATGATAAAATGTGGGGGTAAATTTCCCGCTTCTGGGACGCCTCTTGGTACTTCCTTTTCTTTAACAAACCTAAATCAAAACAAATTACTGCATACTCAGTGCACTGCCAAGAAAACTTACACAGCAACACAGTAAATGACCATATGACCTGTCTGAAATACTCAGTCTCGGCTGAGTGGTTGAGGGGAGAAGACGTGTGCTAGAGATCTGGACCTACTAATTTGCAGGCCTACCCATTTCTCCTGACTGATAAGTCATCATTAAAACTCATACTGTTGGAAGACAGCTTCAGTGTTGTGAGAACTCTTATGTGTGAGTTGTGACTAGGGATATACCTAGTGAAACACTGGAAATAGTTTTCCTTTTTGAAAAGGCCCTCACAGGCCTCTGCCTTTCACTTGACCTCAGCCTTTCGCCTCTATCAACATACAGTGTAGAGGTGAATTTTGTTAGTCCACTGCTACTCGTGCCTCTGAAAATGCGCACAGCTCATCCCTTTACCAGCCTAAGGAATAACGAAGAGTGTGCAGTCCTACGTGAGTTGGTAACCCAAGTGTGCACACACGCTGAAAATTCATCTTTCATTCCAAGACATGTGTGCTAGAAGTTCTGCAAGTTTGGAGTGAGTAATTATTTGTACGAGTATTGCAGTGTTTGGTAACTCTTGAGAAGTCTGCCTCAGTCAGTGACCTTGAGCGAGGCACTACATCACCTGCCTGAGACTTTCGCCCATATTGACTATGTGAAGAGAGGCGAATGTGTGTGCTCAGTTACCCCTGCTGTTCTCCTGTATCCCCAACTCTCCGCCTTTAAACTCAGCCGTTCGCCTCTATCAAGGTGCAGTGTAGAGGTGTATTTTGCTGCTCCGCTGGTACTCGAATATCCGAGTTCCGCACAGCTAGTCACCTCTGCCTACCTGAGAAATACGGACGAAACTCCCATCCTGTGTGAGTTGGTGATCCAGACCTGACTGTGCCGCTTGTACAAAATGTGTTATATCTCTAACTGAGGAAGATGACCTTTTATTCTTCTATGCACTGAGTGTTTCTGGGAGGAATGCTGCATAGTTGGAACAAAACAAGAGTGGTTAAGAACAATTTAACGAGCATTGCAGTACCTGGTAACTCCTTTCGGAGACGGCTTTTTAACTCTAACATGCCAGAGGTTCATCTATAAACATAGTAAGTTTGTGCTGATTTGTTTGTCCACAGAGTAAAAATTTGTCTGTCATTCCAAGACACGTGTGCTAGATTCAAATTCAAATTCAAATTCAAAGTTTATTCTCTATAAGGATTACAATGCTGAGTTTACAGAATTTGGTTACTGTGTGGTTTACATGTAGTAAAATAATGATTACAGAGTGTACCACTAGAACACCTAGCATGGCTAGGCATTTCAGGCAGACTTAGTTTAAATCTTAATTTTAAAATATTACAAATTATGAGGTAAGTTGGTATTATGGCTAAGTCACTAAATACTAGTTTGTGAGTTTAGCAATGTGAATGCTTTTGTTTTGGCACAGTATCACAGGATTCATTATTTTAAGATTGAGATTAATATTTCTGTTTATGGTCAAATGGGTGAGTGAGTGTAAGTGTGAACCACCAGGTGGTATTCGTGTAGTTAGTTGATGGGGTGTATCAGGGAGATAAGATGTTTTCTAATGGTAGTTTTGAAGGTGATGAATGTGTCTGCAGTTCTAGAGTTCTCAGGTAGGGTGTTCCAGATTTCAGGGCCTTTGACATACATTGAATTTTTGTAAAGGTTTAGTCGGACACGGGGAATGTTGTAGAGATGTTTGTGTCTGGTGTTATGCCTGTGGGTTCTGTCACAACTATCAAGAAAGCGTTTTAGGTCAAGGTTGATATTGGAGTTTAAGGTCCTGTAGATGTAGATTGCACAGTAGTAAGTGTGGATGTACTGAACAGGGAGTAAGTTTAGATCTATGAAGAGTGGGGGGTGTGTTGCCAGGGATGGGATTTAGTGATTATTCTTACTGCGGCTTTTTGTTGGGTTATTATTGGCTTTAGGTGTGCTGCTGCAGTTGATCCCCAAGCACAACTAGCATAGGTGAGGTATGGATAAATAAGTGAGTGGTATAGTGTGAGAAGGGCATTTTGCGGCACGTAGTATCGTATCTTGGAGAGGATCCCAACCGTTTTGGATACTTTTTTGGTTATGTGTTGGATATGGGTGCTGAAATTCAGGTTGTTGTCAAGGTATAGGCCTAGGAATTTGCCCTCATTATGTCTGGTAATTAGAGTGTTGTCGATCTTAATGTTAATTTGTGCATCTCCTGCTCTGCTACCAAACATAATATAGTAGGTTTTGTCAGTGTTAAGCATAAGTTTATTGGCTGTCATCCAAGTCGAATATTTGATCAGCTCCTCGTTAACAATGGTGTTGAGGGTGCAGATTAGGGTGAGAGATGACATAATCGTGTCGTCAGCAAAGAGAATGGGTTTCAGGTGTTGGGATACGTTTGGAAGATCATTGATGTATATGAGGAAGAGCAGGGGACCAAGGACACTTCCCGCGGAACTGCGTATCAAGTGGCGGTGTTGTTGATGCTGTCTCTTTAATGGTGACATACTGATACTATTAGTAAGTAAGATTTGAAATAAGCAAGCCCATAGCCTTATCCGTAATGGTCAAGTTTGTGGTGTAGGATGTCGTGGTCTACCGTGTCAAAAGCTTTTCTTAGGTCAATAAAAATTCCTAGTGGATATTCCTTATTTCCAATGCTGTGTAAAGCAGATCTAGCATTTTATGATTGCATGATTAGTGCTTTTATTTTTCCTGAATCCAAATTGGCAGGGGTTGAGTATGTTTTGTGCCGTTATAAATGAATATAGTCTCCTGTGCACGAGTTTCTCAAAGGTTTTGGATAGCAATGGTAAGTTTGATATTGGCCTATAGTTGTTTAAGTCTGTAGGGTCACCACCTTTATGTATTGGTGTAACCCTTGCCATCTTGAGTAGTTTCGGGAAGGTGCTAGTTTCTAGTGACTTGTTAAAAAGTAATGAAATAGCATGCGAAAAGACATGGGCCGCTCGCTTGTACAGTAATGGTGGGACATGAGACAGGTTCCCTGAGTTATTTTTAAGTGACTTTATAATCTCGGTGACTTCCGTGGGCTCAGTTGGTGCAAAGATAGAAGGAATTTGGGAAATTCCCATCTAGGTAGTCCCCGGCATGGGCAATTGGTATGTGGGTATTTATTGGCGAGATTAGATCCTATGGTTGAGAAGAAGTCGTTTATCTTGTTAGATGTCAGTGGATGTAGTGGTGTTTCATTAGGTTTAGTTAGGACAATATTTTTGTTTTTTTTCAGTTTTGGGGTCCCTAGAATCGATGTGGTTTTCCGGGTTCTTTTTTTATTCTTAGTGTCTGTAAATCTATGGAGTGTATGTTTTTTGGCTTTTTTTTATTATTTTTGGTGTTAAGTGCTGCGGGTTTGTAGAAATTAATGAGTTACGTGTTGGTAACTCTCGAGACGACTTGGGCCCAGTGAAGGCCCTTTAAAAAATGGCCTGCGCCCCGCGGGGCACTCCCCCATATTCCCTGTGTTAGTAAACTTTATGTGTGAACTGGACTAGTGTATACTAGTGAAACAAAAAATGTTGTTTTGAAGGGTGTGGAGGCTACCTTACTCCCCCCTCGCCTCCTCCCCCCCTTTCCCTCGTTTTAAAAACTCAGCCATTCGCCTCTATTTACTTATGGTTTGGGTGGTTTTTGCCAGCCACATAAGTGTTGGGCCCCGTGTCATCCTCTGTGCCGCACCCCATCATTTTACAAATGTGTCCCTGGGGCCCTACCTGCCTGCTAAAAGCAAATATCCAGGTGGTTGCACGGGCTTAGCAAGACATTCAAGCAAGCTTAAAAGAGCATTCCAAGCTGCCAGAACAAGCTAAGGCACCCAGCAGTTACAGTTTTAAAGGGCCCCAGATGTTTCGTATTGTTTTCAGTGTGGGGCTTTCCAATGTTTCCTGTGTGGCTTAGTTAAGAACAATTTAACGGATTGCAGTATGATTTTTTAAGTGGGAATCCCAGAGGTTCTTAAAATAGTAAGTTTGCGGTGATTTGCTTGTACACAGAGTGAACATGTTGCATAGTGTGTAGAAGTGTTAAGTGCTGCTTTCCCCAACGTTAATTGTTTTTTGTAAGCCTGTTTTAAAGCTTTAAAAAGGAAAAAAGAGGTACTTGTGAGAAAATCTTTTTTTTATATAAATCAGTGTAATACATGCTTGCTCAGTGAAAATGAATTTTAAAATACGGTTCAAAATTAAATTTGTTGTTTTGTGTCTTTGTTGTGTTTTCTAATACTTTTTCTGTTCAGCTGAAACTTTAGAAAAAATTCCCAGTTTATTTCAAATTGCACTGTTCATCTGTGGTGTGAGTGTGTAACTTATGTTTGCATTTTTACTGTAAACAAGTTATGCTGCATAATGTTCATTTATGAATCTTTCTCTCTTGGTAGTTCAGTTACCTTTCAACTGTGTTAAGCAAGGTCCCCTTTTACATCTATGTTCCCTTTTGAAAATCATCTAGTGGGTTTGGCCCCTAGTTAAACTTAATGTAAAAATTTGAAATCATTATACCTCTAGTTTTTACATTGTGAAAATTTGTTTTGATTTTTGATCAACTGGTTTGTGTGTTTAACTTCTGACCACCAAGACACCAATTTAAATGACTGAGACTCACAGACACATAATAAAATATTAAGCTAAAGCATGGTAATCTCCGAAGGGGGCCCTAGTGTGTGACTTGAGAAGGGGGTGGGGTATTTATTACGGCCAGCGGTGTCCCACTTCACCTATTTTTACATAACAAAAAGGTATTCTAAGTAAAAAGGTACATTGGGTGTATTGGTAACCTTTGTCATACTAGAAACCCGTGTGTAAGTGAGATTTTTGGGTATAGTTCTCTTCTACAGCTGCCCACTTATGTTGCATACTTATATAACATATAAGTGTGGTTACCCGGGAGGGGATGAAGGAAGTCGATCAGAGTATTTTCTCATTGTCATTGTAACATTCCCTAGTTATTTTTTTTTTTTTAGTAATATT